TTCAAGTTGAAATGGATCACTCACGATGGCAGTAAAACGTTGCCACCCATGGAGAGGGGAACATAATCGATGTTTACTGTGGCAACATCGACCCGTCAAACGTAATCTTTGTCAACTCATTTAACGATATGCGTATGATAATTTGCTCGAGATTTGATTGCTGAAATATGTTAATGCTTTATTATTGCTATTTTAAAGATAAGCTAATCTTATTAGGAACATAATTATATATGTCTAAGCGAGTTATGATCTGGGTTGATAACTGCTTATGACCGTTGACCTCCCGATATTTTCCACTGAAGATACAGGCAGTATTGAAGATACGTCCCACATTCAAAACAGACAATTAAAATTACGTGCAATGTCAAAAATGGATGTTTGGTGAGACCAAACATTCATGTAAGAACGTCGATTTTAGATTGGAACCGATGTTGTTAATGTATGCCAATTTAACGATGAATTTTAGTTCTGCTATGAATAGCATGCCTGGCTGGCTGATCTGATTTGACAGATTTGCACCAGGGACCAATAAACAAAGTGACTAATAATTAGTCCATTTGAGGGCGCTATAACACTTTCCTCAAATATACACAATTTGTTGAACATATATGTAACTTCTGCCATCTGAAAATTAGTCTTTGATCTTTATTTATTTGTAAGTTGTTAGATATCAATGAAACATCGCTATATGTTTATGACAAATGTATACTTCGGGAAATTTACAAGGATTGCTCTTTGAATAATATCTACACACAGGTCTAATAGACATTGACTATTGATCGTCGATAGGATTTACTGTTTTTAAAACCAGTCTTAGTAATGTTTTTTTTGAACTATTGGACAGTGGAGTTCATTGGAATGACATGTTATTTTCTAAGATATGAACACAAAATTTGAGAAACTTCTTCTTCAATTGAATCTAGAGATATTTTCTTGTTTGTTTATTTATTGTTGATTTTTAAGAAAATGCACTGTATACGATATTGTCATTAAACACAGCTGCTACTAGCAATATGGTAGCTGAACAAAGCCATCAAGGTTAAATGCTTTGACTGGTGCAAATGACTAAACCCTTACTTTGAATGGTTTGGTTAGAAATTAATTAAGGAATTAGTAAACCTAGGCGAAGATATTTGATAGACATCTTTAACTCAACCATCAAATACGTTGTGAAAGTTCTATAGCTGAAAGCATACACGTGCTTGTTTGTCACTACGTATAGAACGTTAATGTAAAATTAATAATAATGTCTTGCTCCTGAAATCAGGAATGTAGTATTCCTTTTTTTTCTAAGTACAACTTTGAATGTTAACTAGAATCTGTAAGACTTAAGTGATCACGTTTAGTCGAATATCTCTTATTCAAAACTTCGTTAAATCAAATCATGAATACAATAGCAGTGAACTTTCGCACACCGGGTACAGTTGGACCACTGTACTGTCTAATACAACTATATATTATATATGTCATTAACATTAGCTCTGTGTTGATCGTGGTTGGTGTAATATCCATGGATATTCCTAATGGTTCTGTGAGGACGGCCAGGGCCATACATGCCGTTCCAGCTTTCAATAAATCTCTGTGAATCAGAATGCGGCGAATATTCAACGCCGATGTGTTTTTGTGAGTCATTTGAGTGTGCGTTATCTTCTGGCCGGTGTCCGATTTTCTGTTCTTTACACCTGAAATGTGAGTCATCGCAAAATGTTATTCACGAAACAGAAAAACAAACATTCAATTACTATATTACTAGATTATTTATACAACATTTACATATGTATTTCATAGATATATTGGATCAACTATCATGACGTCATAATGGAAAATGTACCTTTTGATTATTATCAACACGATAACTGATGTGATAATAATTCCCAGTAAGAGACCAATGATGAAACCACAGACCACGTGTTCTGGATATCGGCAAGAGTAGATGAAACAAAAATTAAGATCACTACACTGCGAAACAATTGACTAACAGGTCAGCAAAGCTGTCAAAAGGCGGCAGTCGTCGCGCCGCGTACTATTCGATATGGGACTCATAGCGACGTATACAACGCGTGTAAAATACATTGTTTATTTACATGAAATTCGAACACGCGCTGCGCGACAACCACCGCGCTTTAAACTTGTCATTGACAATGATTTGTCAGGTTAGGACTAATATTTGCATACTATAAGTAATATTCATTTCATTTGAAACACTACGATAAGGACATACACTTTTTGACAATGTGAAAATCTTTATTAAAATTTACTCAATATGCATGTCAATAATAATTTTAATAATTACTGATTTCACGAGAATATTAATTAAACAAAACATAATTTAGTATATTTTCGATATTTTTGTTTAATTAATTTACCTTGAATTATGACTGAAATACCTGAATGAAATTACAGAATACGTAGCGTGTTCAACAACTCATGTATGAACAATAACTTGAATAAATATGATTTTACTTGATAAAAATATTGTTTTCCTCCATAAAAACGAAAGAATTTAACAATCTCGAAAACGAAAAGTCTTTATCGTAGTGTTTTGAATATATTTCATATATTGAAACGATAGATTGTTGATACCAATTATACTAACACGCTAATGTTTTAATATCCATACTTGTTACATTGCTCATATATTACATGGGTTATTATTATTTACCTGTCTCGCTTGACGAATCAATTGATTCCATCGTTGTTTTAGGTGTATTATGAACTGTAGTCACGTTATGTCCTAATGTTTGTACCATCGATAACTTTGTTGTGGTGTCCGGATTTGTGATTGAACGCGTACTGCTGGGTACGAACTCATTCTTTGTTCTATGTTTTGTTGTTTGTGAAGCTGTGGTCTGCAACGATGTTGGTAATACCGTTGATGGGGCCATACTTGATGTTAGTTCTTCCGTTGTTGGCAGAAGAGTTGTTGACGAAAAAGCTCTGGTGGTCACTTTAGATAATGTGATTGCCTCAGTGCTTGTTATAATAACCGGATCTAGGGTGAATGCACTATTCAATTAATATCCAAGAAAAACATGTGCCGCAGTTGATAAGAAATTAATCTTCAACTCAAAAATAGCGATTATTACTGTACTATTATATTGTATTACCACTGGAGCCGTCCATAGGCATCGTGTTCTTGCCAGATAGGCAACGGTAAATTGGGCTATTGGGTTTAAATCGGCAGTTTGGATAACTTGTATTTGAAACAACAATTTGACATGATTTTTCGTAAAGCTAGAGTAGTTCGGAAGTGAACATAGCAGTGTTATTCAGTATCCCCACGTGTTACTCACCAAACTCACAAATAAACGCATGCCAGTCTAAAATATTCCAATCATACCATGCCCACGAGCCAGCTGATGATGTCATATTCATCACCATGGATACACGCTCACCTTCACCCGTGGCATTTGGATTAGGTTCACCAGTACTTATATCCCAGCTACTGAATATCATCTCTTCACCCTTGAGACCATTTCCTAAGATGCGATTAAAGTAATACTAGTACTTTATAGTTATATGGTACAAAAGCCTTTAAACGCAAATGATCCCAGAGATCTCGCGAGGGAGCCACGAGACTCGTTCTCGCCTCTCAAACATTCATTCTCTTCTTTTATCGTAACCCATGGTATTTGGAACAGTAGGCGTGATGATATGAGAGAATGAACACAATTAACTGGCAAATACAAATCTCGAGGCTTTCTCGCTCTGAACAAGATCTTGGCGGCCATTTGTTTTTGAGATCAATTCCAAATTGTGTTTTAATCGATCGATCTAATTTCAAAATGCCATATACATCAGGCTTAACTTGCCTTGTATCCAATACCAATTGTCTTTATCGTCACATAAACCATACCGAGTACGAGAATAACAACTTCCCCCTATCCATATCGGACTGCCATACCCAGAAGCATTGACGTTTAAGAAGTCCTTCACGTCTTCATACTTCAGTACTGATTCAAACCTAACAAGACTGCCACTGCGGTAATAGCACCAATCCACAGCCTTGTTCCAGGCTAAGTGGTTGTCATAAAGTTGAAACGAATAGCACATGTCTCCAAGGTGAATAGTCGGTGATGTTGTTCCACTTTTGTCCATAATTCTCGGACAGCCTAAAGATACACTTAATGCCCCATAACCTAGACAATAATAACAAACGACGGTGTCAAAATACAACTACATTTAAATGAAAAGGGCAAAAAACAGGGTGTGGCAAGTTGTGAATTGAGGGTATCGCTCGCTTCATTATGTATGTGATATTGCATTCGAGGAATAATTATCCAATAGACGAATATGTTGAGTATAACCAATTCAAAACGGTATGTTTGATTTGTTTCGATAGCTGTAATTTTACGCCCACCCAGTTAAATAATAAAATAAAAATGACCGCCACCGATTGAGTAAGATGACTTCAAGAACATTTAAAAAGTTTAACATTTTTCGGCCTAAGTGCACCTCAGATATTTATAATCAAAATAATGTACATGTATTTAGTACGGAATTCGGAAATAGGACGCTTATCAACTTACTGGCAATTATTTAATGGGTTTATTCTAATGACAGGTGGCATACGGTGTTGTTCTCATATATACATTTGCTTGTATTCAATCTAGATTAATATACCATAAAGCAATGGAAATTGGTAATTGAATTTCGGTCCAGCTAAGACGATAACTTGTATACATGTAACACAGTGTTTATGTAAGTGACAGCCCCGATCCGTGTAGTCGACAACAAGTCTGCAAACTGTACAAATCATATCGTGTGTCACAATATCTCTAATTCCATAATGTGGTACTTCCGATGAATACTGTTGCCATGGAAACGACGTATAACAAATGTTTCATAGTTCAATGTCACTAAAGATACACACACTCTCTGGTTCCAAATAATTGGGCTGCTAGCGTCACAATTTACTCTGGCTCAAACTACTCGTCACCTAATGCATCCAATATCACATCCAATAAAAATTTGGTTCGTTCAATAAATCCAACTTTTCTTACTCACCTAGAGCTGAGGTGCAAATCAGAAGGCAAACAATCTGGAATGTCGGCGGGTTCATCACATTCGCATAGGTTATTATCATTTATATCCAAAATTGAAAAAAAAAAGATGGAATAAAATCAATCCTCGAGAAGTCAAGTCTGCTAAGTCAGAACTGTAGAATTGAAGGCCAAATGACGACTCGTCGTGAGGTGAACAATAACAGCGTAATCTGTAAAATGTGTTTGCTGATATTTATTTGATGGCGTCCAACACAAACTGATTAGATTATTTATTGTTGCATTAAATTGAACTTGTGGCCAACTTGAAAACCAAAAGGTCAAACAAATTGTCACAAATATTTGGACACGGGTACATCGATTTCATTCCCCTGAATAAGGTAAGAGAAATAATAGCAATGGTGACGTCACAGACGAGTCTAACAGTGA